TATATGATTAGTGAACTACTGAAAGCTGACCTCAGCCCTGCTCCTGTATTTATTCTGGTGATGGGGGGGTTTTCGGGAAGTGGAGTAGCATGAAGGGCTGGAGCAGACAGAGTAGACATGCTATTCTCAACACATAAACATATACTCATCGAGAGTCAAGTCTGCAGGAAGTATAGAGATGTGGCTTAAGAACTGGAAAAAAAAATGTGTCTTAAAAAATGGTTAATGGGCTGGGAAGGTGGCTCAGTGGTAGAGTACTTGCCTTGCATGCATGAGGCCCTGGGTTTGATTCCTCAGCACCACATAAGCAAAAAGAAAAAAGCCGGAAATGGCGCTGTGGCTCAAGTGGTAGAGCGCTAGCCTTGAACTGAAGAGCTGAAGGACAGCGCCCAGGCCCAGAGTTCTGACCCCACAACCGGACCCCAAAAAAACCAAAACCAAAAAAATGGTTAAAATAAGTGAGATATTCTCACGTGTAGGAATAAACACATAAGATAAACTGCAAAAATAAATAGGAATAAATCACAAACATGTGTTTCTATATGAATATGTGGATGAAATTTGAAAGAAAAACAGGCTGTGTGCCAATGGATAACTTGTCTAATCCTAGCCATTCAGGAGGCTGACATCTGAGCATCAAAGGCGGCCTGGACAGAAAAGTCGGTGAAACTCTTATCTCCAATTGACCACCAAAAGCTTTGGCTCCAGTGATGGAGCACCAACTTTCACTAAAAATGGAACAGCACCCAGGTTCTAAGTTCAAGCCCAGTACTGGTGCAAAAAAAAAAAAGGAGGAGGAGGAGGAGCAAGAGGAGAAAGAGTTGAAAGACACTCTCCTGTTTCTACAGGAATTCAATTTGTGAGGCAGAAGGCAAAGGCTACGTCTAAGGTGGCCTATCTGAAGCAGTCATTTCTTTGCAATTGCAAAAATCAATTCAACTGTGAAGCCAAGGGGTCTAAGTAGAACTAGCCAAGAATACCTAGATAAATTTGTTACTTAAGAGCACTTTTGTCACTTAAAGCACTCTTTAGTGAGCCATGTGGAAGAACTGTCATTAGCAATTATGGTAAAGTCATAAAAACTGTGAGTTGAAAGCAATCAATGAAATCAATCTAGCTGGATGAGGTGGGGCTTGGGGTTAGGACGCAGGGGGCTTTGGGTTTGGGGGTTATCACTAGCATCCCTTTAATTGCACAAAAACTCAAGCATACTCTCACCTGAGGACTGCAGGCCTACTTTCCCATCTCCCAGCATGCTTTTCCTGCTGAAGTAGGCCTGGACCTCTTTCTTCATCAATTTAGTAAATTGATAAGAATTTAGCAATGTCCTAGAAAGCTCTATTTACTCGTGTGTACCACAAGGCCCTTACGCTTCCTTTTTTTTATTTGTTGTTAAAGCATTCATGAACCATCTAACATATTTTGTATATTCCTTATATACTTTATATGTTTGTCCTACCCACTAGAAAATACAAGGTATATGAGGATAGGAATTTGTGTCTGCTTTTGTTTATTGTAATGATATCCCAGGACCCTGAACAGTCCTCCTAAACTAGGGTAGGTTCTCAAGAGTGTGTTTGTGTGTATGTGTGTGCATGTGCATGCACATGTGAATGCTGGTACTAGGGCTTGAACTCAGGGCTTTGTATTCTTTTTTTTTGCTTTTATTCTCAAACCTGGTTCTCTACCATGTGAGAGATGCCACATGGCATTTTGGTCGTTAATTGGAGATAAGAGTCTCATGGAGCCGGGCGCCGGTGGCTCACGCCTGTAATCCTAGCTACTGAGGAGGCTGAGATCTGAGGATCACGGTTCAAAGCCAGCCTGGGGAAGGAAAGTCCATGAGACTCTTATCTCCAATAAACCACTAGAAAACTGGAAGTGGTGCTGTGGCTCAAATGGTAGAGTGCTCGCCTTGAGCTGAAGAGCTGAGGAATAGCGCCCAAGCCCAGAGTTCAAGTCCCACAACCCACCAATAAATAAATAAATAAATGAATAAGAGTCTCATGGACTCTTTTGCTTGGAGCTGGCTTTGAACCATGAGCCTCAGATGTCCTCTTGAATAGCTAGCATTATAGATGTGAGCTAGGAGCTCCTGGCACAGGTATTTGTTAGATGGAAGGAAAAAAAGATAAGAAGAAAGAAAAAGGCAAGGAGTTAAAATCTGGCATAAAATAGTCTAGTACATCATTGTAGTGATCATCCAACTGACCGAATTTCTGTGTGTTTGTATCTCCTGTCCACATGTCATAAGAATAGCATCTTTGGAACATGATTCCATACCACAGAACGCAGTGTTGTGCTTCCATGTTTGAAGTAAATATCTTTTTTTGTCGGTCATGGGGCTTGAACTCTGGGCATTGTCCCTCAGCTCTTCAGCTCAAGGCGAGTGCTCTACCATCTGAGCCACAGTACCACTTGCGGCTTTTTCTGCTTATGTGGTGCTGAGGAATCAAATCCAGGGCCTCATGCATGTGAGGCAAGCTCTCTACCAGTAAGCCACCTTCCCAACCCCTGAAGTAAATATCTTGTCAATATACGTTCACAAAATTAAGTACAGCAGTTGTGTCACGTGAGGAAGGGGTACTATATCTTAAAAGTTACTATTTAAAAAGCTCTTCTCTGGAAGTGGCGCTGTGGCTCAAGTGGTAGAGTGCTCGCCTTGAGCTGAAGAGCTGAGGGACAGCGCCCAGGCCCAGAGTTCAAGCCCCACGACTGACCAAAAAAAAAAAAAAAGCTCTTCTTTAGGTCAGGCACTGGTGGCTCATGCCTGTAAAATCCTTGTTACTCAGGAGGCTGAGATCTGAGGATCACAGTCTACATCCAAACCAGGGAAGTCCATGAGACTCCTATTCCCAATCAACCACTAAAAAGCTGGAAGTACAACAGTGGCTCAAATGGTAGAGCACAAGCTTCGAGTACACAAGCTCAAGGAGAGAACCCAGGCCTCCAGTTGAATCTGTAGGATGAGTGTACACATGTGTGTACACACATGTACACACACATGCACACACACATACACAACTAAAACTAAACCACAAAAACCCTTCTTTGAAAGTTATAATCACGATCAGTCAAGTAGAAAGAACATGAGACAGACAGAAAGGCATTATTAAAAAAAAAAAACCTTTTTAATTCTGATTGCCAAATTATTTAAGGCAGGTATAAAAAAGGAAAGCATTCAATATACATTTTACATAAAATAAACTAGATTACAGCATAAAACAAGTAACCAGGCAATGGCGTTAAAGTCTCTCTCTTCTAAAACTGGATAATTGTAAACATTAAGGAAAAAAAAAAAAAAGACTGCAGGACTATTCAAGTAATAGAACAATCACAGATGTCTCTGGTGTGCAGGCTATTGGGTTATCCGCCATTCAGGATTATCAAAACAATGACACTTCATTATTCACAGATGCTCATCATTTCCCCGTTTTACTCTTTACATTATATACAACACAGTTTTTGTGGTACTGGCAACCCCGTGCCTTCCAAAGTACTTCTTTCCACAATGCACAAGTACAAACAGTGACTACGAGAACGTTCACATCCGGGGCATCGTCAACTGCACCAAGTGTCATCATCACAGTTCGCCTTGCTGAGGGGCTGATGGGAAATGGATGGAGGGTATGCTGGGTTCAGGCACACTGATATATAACATTATTTATTTACAATGTAAAAGGAAAAGGAAAAAGAAAAGTAAGCAGCCTTTTGTGGCTAACACTTCGCAATGTGACAAATACATTTTTTTTTTTAAATTCTCCTTTACTGAGTGGTTTGGCAACAGACCCTGTGTGGTGCGAGCCTGGTTACTGATACAAAAAGTAAAGAATATATTTATATTTATATTTATATATATATATATGTATATATACAGATATGTATACGTATATATATATAAAACAGAAGTTAATTACAGCAACATTTGTTACTCTGTGATAAAATCTGTAATTTACAAAAATGAAATGACTGGTTTTTGCCTGCCATTAAGGCATTTCAAATTAACACCATGGAACTGATGTCTGTATAAAGCGCTTCTCCATGTGATCCAGTCACATGACAACGTACACTGCCAATCTTGTTATTCTCTGCAAAAGAAAAGCACATCTTAGCCCAGGGTTCCATCAGTGTCTATCATAAAATTCTCAGAACAGTGAGACTGAAAGGTTTATTTAGTTCTATTCAATTCGTCGAATGCCATTCCAGAGAAAGTAATAGTATACATTTTGGAGAAAATGCTAATTTTATATCAATAGGTTAATTCGTTTAAATTATCCTCCTCTTTGGTTTTTGGGTGTTTGGGGGGGGGGGGGGGGGAAGGGAAGTGCTTTGCTGCTGAACCATGCCTCCCATCCCTTTTGTACTGATTATTTTTCTGATAGCGTCTCACTGTACCCTCCTGCCTGGGGTCCATGCCTGGGTTGCTATTCTTTGCTTCCCAGCATAGCATGGATGACAGGTACCTGCCACCACTCTTAGCTTCTTCCAAGACGGAATCTTGTGCATTTCTTTCTGCCTGGGCTGGCCTAAGACTGCAATCCTTTTGATCTTAGTTTCTCGTGCAGTTAGGATTTTAAGATATCATAGAACCAGTGCCTTTAGTGTTATAATAAATGGGTGGATCCATTTTCTGCTTCTATTTAAACATACTAAAATAAGTTGGGCACCAGGAGGTCACACACCTGTTATTCTAGCTACTTAGGAGGGTGAGTACTGAGGATCATGGTTCGGTGCCAGCCAGGGCAGAAAAACCCATGAGACTTTAACCTTCAATTAACCCTGTAAAATCAGAAGTGGAGCTGTGGCTCAAGTGGTAGGCCCCCAGCCTTGAGTGAAAAAGCTAAAGGACAGGTCCCGAGGTCAAGCCCTAGTACTAGTACCAAAACCCAAAAACAAACCAAAAGGAACTATATTTTTCATCTAACAAGGGTGTACTTGCTTCCTGGGAATCCTTAAGATGTCTCTGTCTACAAAGGGAATTTCAAATGCCCTGTGGATATTTACCTTCTTTGTGCAGGGAACATTCCCGATGCTGAGGCCTGGGCAGCCACCTGCTGAGAGGCAACCAGGGCAGCCGAGGTCAAGCCTATAATGGTGGGGGAAAAAATCATAGGGTTTCCATGACATTTAGAAAGAGAAGAGTATGTACGTTGCCAGTGGTAGGGGGGCAAAGCCTATCCAGCAACCTGTGTCCGTTTCTGGGCATACAACGTGTTCTATGCAGCAAGGGCAGACGGGAAACCACTTGTTCCACCCAATATCCATTTAAGGAACACTCTGTGGTCTCTTCAATCGCTATTCAAAGGGGATATAGCATTCCATCTCGCTGGCTCTCATGGTGCTAAATGGTTTGCATGCATTCCTGAATAGAAAGCTCAGGAGAGAGAAAAAAGATACCAGCTAACAATAGGAAGCGAAAGTCACCGAGAATTATAGAAGCAACCTGCTATTTACTTAGAATGCTTTTATAATAATTCTTATCATACTGACATTTTTTCCCTCGGTGATTTAAACACACATATCTCATAACATATGTGGAATCAGCAAATCAAATTTAACAAGCTTTCTAGCTCTAAATCAAACTTCAAAATAGTCTCCATTAGTAAAGATAAAATGCAACAGTTCCAAATTGCATTAAGCTGTGTAAGAGAGAATTTTTAAATCTTCTACAGGAAATAGTTCTGGGGAAAATAGAGTAATTAAAATCAGAGAGAAAATTATGTTCTTCTATGTTCTTTACTTGGACGTATTTTCTTTTTTTCCCCCAGAGATAATTTAAGACACTATAGCAGTAACAGCATATACAATAACATATGAAAATGAGAAGATATGCTCATGTTCTCATATATACATAGCTGTAATGGATTAGAAATAAAGTCCCTTTCTCTTTCACTTAGGAAAAAGGGAGACTCTCATTTAATATCATGTAACGAGAATAAACAAAACTAAAGGCCACATTCGCACATAGGAATACCATGTGTGTGATATCTCACCTACTAGTGAGAGTCACCAAAAGCAGTCAGAAAACCAGGCACAGTGGCTCACACCTAGAGTCCCAGATACTTGGGAGGCTGAGAACAGGAGGCTGAGAACTGATTGAGGTTGAGGCCAGCCTGGGCAGGGAAATTCAAAAGATCCGTTTCCAAGGGACAGCTGAGCATAGTAGAATGTACCTGTCACCCTAGCTAGCTACCTAAAAGGCCAAGTTCAGGAGGATGGAAGACCCGCCCAATCAGAAAAGACAAAGAGACTCCATCTCAATGGAAGGAGCTGGTCACGGTCCATCTCAGGCACAAAAAGAAGCCTAATCGATAGATTAGGCTTGGGGAGGAAGGGAGACTCTATTTCAAAAATAGTCAGTGCATGAAAGAGCTGGAAGCGTGGTCTTGCAAGGGCTAGGCCCCGAGTTAAAACCCCAGTACCTCAACAACTCAATAATAATAATAATAATAAAACCAACCAGCTTAGTTGGCACCCCAATCTCCAACTTCCAGCCTCCAGAACTGTAAGATAAGTATCTACTGTTGAACTCTGCGGTGCTTCATTATAACTGCCTGAGCTGAGAAAGACAAGACCCCGGGCAGATTACTCAGTTGGAAACGATCGTCACTGCCTGCCCTTACAAGAAGGCAGAGTGGGACAAGTAACGCACGCTCAACTAGTGCACCACCAACGGATGCCCTCATGTCACATCAGAGCTTCTTCACAGAAGAGTTCTCTTTCTAGACCTTCGTGTTTAGTAAGAGCCTGTACAGCAGTGAAGGGCTGGAGCAGCTCCTGGATTTGGCTACCAAGTGTTACCACCTGCTAAACTCCTACCATTACTTGCATGGGAAAATAGCAACGTCAAAAGCCTACAGATATCAGGACAAATAATTTCACCCAAGCCTCTCCCTCTCCCTTCCTCTGCTCTACAATTTCCCAGAAGTAGATATCTGATCTTCTGATTGTTATATTCAATGCCCCAGACACCGGCCGCCACCCTCAGTCTTGGAGATAACAGTAAGCCTCTGATAACATCAACCAGTGACAGTTATTAAGTGGCCGCCATTTCTACATGTGGGAATGGACTTATCTGTGTCACTAGGAAATGCCAGGAAATAAGTTCAAAATGCTCCCCAGTCTCGGGAGCCCATAAGGGCTGCAAGAACTACCTCGGGCTTCCAGGGGTGGTGTGGCTCAACTGGTGAAGGACCAGCCCAGCAATGGAAAAGCTCCGAGTTCAAAACTCAGCACGCGTGCGTGCATGTGTGTGTGTGTGTGTGTGTGTGTGCGCGCGCGCGCGTGTGCAGGCATGAGTCTCCTGCCCCTCTCCCTCAGGAGCTAATGTTACCTTTGTTTTAACACTGGGACCGGCAGTTTTAGTAAAGCCTCATTTAAGGAGATAGAAGAACAAGACAGCTGCTGACCTTGAAAAGGGTCGTATTGCCCAGGGATCAGAGGGTAGCCCATGCCAACGTGGGTGTGGTGGTGCGTGTGCAGGTGCCGCTGGCCGAAGGGGGAGTGGCGGTCCCTCTCCCGCTCTGCTTCCCGTTCCCGCTCCGCCGAAGTCTTTTCCACAGGCTGCAGGAGAAAGAGACATTTCCGCCCCTTTAAAGCTTCAAAATCCAATAAGCAAGAGTATGAAACCGTTGTTAATGCCGCAGCAATCCTGTATCCATTCATCAAAAGGACAGGGAGAAGAAGTTGGGGACTGGAGGTTCACCTTGTAATCCTAGCTACCCAGGAGGCTGAGATCTGAGGATCTTGGTTCAAAGCCAGCCAAGACAGGAAAGTACTCGAGACCCTTATCTCCAATGAATAATCCAAAACCAGAAGTGGAGCTGTGGCTCATGTAATAGAGTTATCTCCTTAAAATACTAGATTAATTGAGGATAATTTCAAAAGACATGCATGATTTTTCCATTGTAATTAAACCTACAATAAAGAACAGTCCCTTCTAAGGTAAGCTAAGTGGCATCCATGTTTTCCTCAAGTGATCAAAAAGCAATTCTTGCCAGGCACCAGTGGCTCTAGCTACTCAGGCAGCTGTGACCTGAGATTCATGGTTCAAAGCCAGCCCAGGCAGTAAAGGCTGTGAGACTCTTCAATTAAGCATCATTAAAGCCAGAAGTAGAGCTGTGGCTCAGGTGGTAGTATCTACACACACACACTACACATGGACAGTGCACAGACCCAGAGTTCAAGCCCTAGGACCAGCACGCATGCACACATGCACACACACACACACTTTTTTCCCCCAAAAGATCCATTTACCCAATAGTTCAACATTTGGTTTGTAGCCTCTTAACTACTTAGTTACAAGGGTATTATAATCTCTCGTGCTTATTTCTCAAGCCTTTGTCCATGATAATTTTCACCCAAAGTCATTTCCTGTCGTGGAAGTTTCTACCTAACAAGCTCCCTTGTGGATCAGCAACGTGTGCTGTATTTTGAAAGAGAAAAGCTGACTGCCGTTATGCATGCTTCAACAATATTTTGTTCTGTGAGAGATCATCTTACGTTTTATTCTTTATGCATTAGAATAAAACAGCATCCTGAAATCACAGCTGGGTTCCCAAACCATTTGTATTTCAAGACTGTGTAGTCTAGATTGCCCTTGTCTGCCCCCTCCCACAAGCCAGGCCTTTCAAGGAGCAATAAAAGGAGGCTTACGGCGGGAGACTTGCTGCGGTACTGGTTGGCGTGCTGCTGGAGCAAGTCCAGCGCTTTGGATTCAGTGGTTGTTTTCGTGTTGATGCTGGGGCTGGTATTGACTTTCTCTGTCTCCTCTCTTCCTGACATCTTCCCATAAACAGGATAATGAAATCCTGGAGAGAGGTAGGCCCCTGCAGATAAACAACAAATGCCACATCAAGTTACAGGCTACATCTTTAAAAAGAAAAAGCCATTTGGGTTCTATGAATTTGGGATAAGGACCAGACATCTTTTTAAAAAGAGGGTTGTATGAAGAATGGGCTACATCGTTGTTAACTGTATCTAGGTCCTGATTTTCTTCTTCAGTTAATTCATCCCGATGAACAAAGGTTACAAACAGAATTGAGCTTATAGCCACTTTGTACATTTTATGTGTCCCCTTGAGGGAAAGAAATAGCAACTATAATGATTATGACAGTCAGTACTTAGGATATTCTCCTAGGCAATAAAGTATCTGTCAGCCTAATGTCTGCAGCAGACCATCAAAGCCTAAGAAAGCTGTAGAATCCTGACATTTCATTAAAAAAAAAACAAAAACAAAAACAAACATTAAATCAGTTTCATCTTTGGAACATGAGCAGCATAAAAACAAGCAAAACAAACATCATTCTTGAAGCTTGTAATTTATCTTGAGTTTCTAAAAGCGACTATTTGAACATAGCCTTTCCCCTACCAATGCCATCTGAACCCGGCACATACCAGGATAACTGTGCATTAGGACGGGAGACACGGCCCGGTACGCGGGGTGGCTGGGGTCGTACATCTGTGGGTAAGGATACGCATGCAGGTACTGGATGTACGACTGATGCGGGCTCATGGGGGAGGACACAGCCACTCTGGTTCCCCGAGAGTCCTTCCAGTTCACAGGAGTCTTTCGATCATCATTTTTCAACTTGTTTTCCTCCACGGACTGAGAATCAAGACGCTTGGCCTCTTTGGGCTCCTCCTTTATGTTTGTTAGTGACACGGGAAGGCTGGGCACGCCACTCTCTTTATTCGGAGTTTTCCTTGGACTATCTTCTTTTAATTTCTTCTCTCTGTCAAGGTCTTCTGACTTTTGCTGATCCAAGTATTTGGGTTGGTATACATAATGATGCCATGTCCTCGAATCTGGATCCTGGAGGTTAAAAAAAAAAAAGATGTGTCTTAAAATTTCACTTTTTAATGCAACCCCCTTAATCATTATGACAATACTGCTACTGCTACGATTACTTCTCATACTAAGACAACATTTGTTTTTGTGCTGGGCACTGGGTTACTCTTCCTCTCATAAAATAGTGAAGTCATTACACAGAAGATGAAAACTAAAGCTGCGTGTGTGTGTGTGTGTGTGTGTGTGTGTGTACGTGTACACGTGTGTGCTGGTAGCAAGTGCTTGAAATCAGGACCCTTGGCTTTTTTGTTCAAAGACTGAGCTCTACCACGGCAGCCACACTTTCTGCCTTAACTTTTTGTTGGTTAATCGATGGTAAGAGTTTCTTGGATTTGTCTATTTGGGCTGCCTTTGAACCTCGAACCTCAGGTCTGAACCTCATGAGTAGCTAGGGTTATCGGTGTGTGCCGCCAATGCCTGACAAAACCAGCGCTTTTAAAAGTTCAAGCAACATCAGGGCTTTCAAACACAGGTTTGTTGGAATTCAAATCAGAGCTCTGAATGTCATTTTTCACATTAAATAACACCCTCAGACATATTTAATCCAATCCTCATTTTCCCTTTTAATGTCTCACACAGGTAAAAAGGATTTTTTAAAAACTCTAGCTCAAGCTAACAGTAGTAAATTTAAGTAATTACTACAGCTATTAATGTCACTTAGAAGGGAAAACTCTTGGTTTCCTAATACATTTTCTTCATGTACTACAGCTGAGGCTTAATATATTGGCTCACTTCTCATTATGTTCTAACAACTTAATCCAAACAAAATTTCAAAGTAATAGCCCACATTATGGCTTCTCTATCATAAAACAAAGCCAACTACAAGCTCCCCAAATTGTACTGATGCACCCCTGGGAAAGAGCAGCCTCATTCAGGCCTCAGCAGAAGTGGAACTGAAAACACCAAGTGTTCCTTGAGATCTCCCACCCCACGCCCGGTACAGACGCACAGGACATTTAGAGTCCAGGCGAGCGTTCAAGATGCAGGCCTGAATCCCACCCTCTAGGGAAGAAATGCAGATGGGGAATCTTCTGATTCACCCAGGGTCTGAACACAGCGAGCGCAGGAGGTTTAGGGGCAGAGGGTGCTGGGAAATAACCAGAATGCATGCTCGCCAGACAGCAGCAAGTCAGGACATCTGGACCATGACACAAAATGCTGGCACATGTGTGGTCTCATGGTGACTGATCTGAATTCAGGAGTTCTCAACCTGGCTGACCAAGGGGCTCTGGGACAACGGTTAAGGCCCATCACCCAACATCTGACCTTCCTCATAAAATGGATGTCACTCAGCTCTGCTCTGGGTACTTAATGCTGAAAGTACAAGAGCTGTCAGGCATCTCTGTCAGGCATCTTCAGACCCTATGTGAAAGACACAGGAGCCCCACGTTTTATTAAAATGATACACTGAAAATGTGCCTTCAGGAATTCGGTTTTAAAATTCTCAGTAGATGTAAATACTCAGAAATACAGAACAATTAATGTCGAATTCCAGAGTTTGGGAGAAGTCAGCAGTTCTGAGAAGGAATGCTTTCATCCCCGGACTCAGGGTTAGATGGTGTGGGACACACATCTGCAGAGTGCATCCTCAGGACCCTTCACGGGACACCATGACAAGACGCGTACATTTTAGAGTGACACAATAACTCCCAAGAATCCGCTAAGATACATTTCAAGAGAAAGAGGCAAAAAACCCCGCTATGGGTTTCCTCCTATAGAAGAAGTCTAACCAGATCAAGCCCAGACATGAGCACACGTGTCAGCCTGCGCTCTCCCTGTTGGGGCCACATTCCACAATCTTACTTGTTTAAATCTTGAGGTTGGGTCTACACCTGTCTGCTTCATAGAATCCATGACAGATTTCATTTCTACAGCCTCCTTAATTAGCTGGTGGTTTTCCATCTGCTTAGCTTTGAAGCTGTCGGCCTGAAGCTGCTGCTGGTGATTGCAGAGGAGCTGCGATTTACCTGTCTCCTCACTCTTACTGGGCCCTGACGGCCCTAGTTTAGCATGGTTTTTGTTAGGCTCTGGAGTAGAGGGGGCTTTTGAGATGGTGGCTGATGGTATGTTTTTCTGCTTACTGTCTTCCTTGCTCAGCTCTTTCAAGGGGAGCTCAGACTTCCTTTCACAGTCGACCCTCCCAGTCTGGGCCATTTTCTGTTCTGCCAGCCTCTGATCCTCATAGTACTTCTCATATTGCTGTCTATAGGCGGGGCTGGTAGCCATGAGAGACTTCTGGTCCATGTAAAGTCCATAGGCATACTGGCCATAATACAGTGACTGAGCCAGAGCCGGGTGTCTCTGCGTGATCACCGACTGGTGCTGAGGCTGCAGGGAGGCAGAGGGGTGGTCCACTTTCTTAGCCTCTAATTGCTCTGTCTTGTCTTTCTTCTCTGAATCTTCCTCCGACTCCTTCTTGATCTTCATTCCCTGGCTGCTCCCGTTGCTCCCAGCCATGGGGGCACTGGTCTGGCCTGGGTGCATGTAACTTGGAGAATAGTACGGATCGTAGCCATGGTAATAGGGAGAGTGGGACTCCTTCAGTTGTGACGATTGCGCTGTGGTGGAGGAATGCCCTTTGACAATACCGTCCTTCCCAGGAATGGGGTCTGACGGGGAGCTGGCCTTTGACCTCATGCCCTCTGACCTGCTGTCGGAGCCGCCGTCCTCCGCAGCATCAGATATGTCGGAATAGGCGGGGCTGCTGGTCTTGGCAGCTGAACTGTCAGCCCCGTTTTGGGTCAACACGTGCAGGGGTGCCATGGGCGCCTGCCCGTTCACCAGCGCACTGCACTCCATCCTCGAGGCGCTCCCGATGGAGGGGCTGGGGGCGTTGTCGGTGAACGTGTACACCTTGTCGGCTTCAGCTTTGATGCTGGCCATCCGGCTCTCCTGAGACTCCGGCAGCCCATTGGCCAGCCCTTCGTTCTTACTGAGATGATCCTTTAAAAAATGCCCAGGCAAGTCTTTGCCAGCCACCTTCGAGTCCTCCAGTTTCCCCAGCTTGGCGTCCATTTTTGGGCTTCCTGTCTCTTTCCCTTCTTTGTCCTTAAGCTTTCGTTTCTCCTTTTTCTTTTTGTCTTTGAGGGACACTAGAGCGGGGTTCACAGTAATGGGCTCTCCCATAATGGTGGGCTTTGGTTGGATGGGTTTCAGCGGAGGGCTCTTTGGTGTAGCCTGGACGACGGTGGTGGTGAGGGAGGGCAGTCCCGGGATGGTGCCCGTGGTGGTGGTGGTAAAGGCTGCGGTGGGTATGGCGATGAGTTGGGGGGGCGTGGGGGCTGGGGCCGGGGCAATGGGCCGGGCGCTTTTCAGTTTGGAGAGGTTTTTATCCATCTTGCAATTGTTAGCTTTTTTACCCTTTTCTTTGTCTCCCAGGGTTTTCTTGTCAATCAGGCCTTCTGCTTCCAGCTTGGGCATTTCCGCAGCCAAGCTGCCATCGGGGACTGGGCAGGTGTCTAACGGGGCTGTCATGTTGGAAATGACCGGAAGGTTGTTCAGCTCACTGTTAAGACCCTTCTTTTTCCCAGAGTTTTTCCCAGTTTTCGAGCCAATTAGAGACCCTGGGCCGTTGCTCATTAACTCCCTCTTTCCCTTGGGGGTCCCAGGAGGGTTCCCAGCCCCAGGGGACACGGGTGCCTTCACGTGGTCATAGGCTGACGCGCTGGTGCTCGGCTCGCCGCATTCGAGAGCCACATGACTCAAGGCCTCCTCGCAGTCTGAGATCTTGTCCTCGCTGTCGGGCTCAAACTCCAGCTTGTTTTCGGGGTCTAAATGTGCATGCGCCTGGTGGTACCTCAGGCCGTTAATGTGCTTGTACTTCTTGTTGCAGTTTGGGTGGGGGCAGTCAATTAACACCGGGGAAGAGCAGCCTTGGTCCAAAAAAGCAGTCTCAGGTTTTCCTTGTGGGGTGGTGGGAGTGCTCCTGGAGTTGGTGCGGACGCGTTTCCCAGGCTTGCTGTCCTCCGAGCTGGAGTTTAAGTCCAGCTCCATGGGAGGCTTGTTTTTCCTCTTGTTGGTGGAGGAGGGGCTGGCTTTGATGTCCTCCGCAGCGCAGTTTGGGGGTGTCCTTCGCCCACTGGCGTTGAGGCTGCCGCGCCTCCCCTTGCCATTGGCGCCCCCTCTGTTCTTGCTCTGCAGCCCCCTGGACTCCGTGAAGCTAGCCTCAGAGCCGGGGGCCGCCGCGGCCGACCTGGCTCTCTTCCCTCTGCCCCGGCCTCCTCTCATCTCCAGGTCGCTTGTTGGTGATTCACAAAACCTAGAGAAGCAAGTAACAGATGTTACAATGATCCTGTCCCCAAAGAGCCAGGTGAAATCACAAGGTAAACAGTACAACAAAGAGGAGCCAACACCTTTGAACTGGGGGCCCGTGTCGGGCCAAGGAAGGCGGCTCTATTCGAGCTTATATTTGTCCTCAGGAAAAAAATCAAAGACAAACAGTTCAGGTAGCTCACTAGCTCCAATCAGCTCCAGCTCCCATTTTGACAAAGAAGAAAACAAAGGGAGAGAGAGAAGGGCTGGCGAGTGGAGCTCTCCTGACAGAAAAGAAAGCCAGCATCTGCATTGTACTGGGTTCAGTACTGAACCGCGGATTTCTCTGTTGCCTGGTTTCAATTACAGCAAGACGTTTATGTATTATTAATCTCTCTCTATAGTTTCCTTGCAAAAGAGTGGGTGGGGGAAAGCCAGGAATACCAGATGCATACCTGGGAGGGGCCCAGTCATGCTTGGTGCAGTCCAGCAGGGTTCCCACGTAAGTTTTGTTCCTCCATGTGACGTTGACCACGAGGACACCTGTGGGGTGGGGGTGGGGAATGAAAAGGGACCGCATTTAACACAGATTATTTTATTTCCACTTCATTTACGGTTATTATTATTTTTACCAGCAAAGATCTGTTCTCATTTGCTTTCAAACGCTGTGGTTTTCATTCTTCCCCTTTCTGGTTTCAGTGACCTCAAGTCAAAACCCACAGGAAATTATGTGTGTGTGTGTATTCATGCGCATGCGCATGTGGCACAAAGGGGCGAGACTGTGTGTGAGAGTGTAATCAAGATACTGCTGACAGAAGGAAATGGTTTTTGCCATGTCCTGCTGTAAAACAGCAACACTCACCTCTTAATTTTTCTATTATTACACATAATTGCTTTCGTTTGGCAGGCAGCCAACATAAACTAAGCGCCAGTTACCAGTGCTTAAACCAGAACAAGACGGAAAGGAATTGGTTTTGTTTTCAATTCAACAACATAAAATAATGTTGATTTTTTTTGTTAAGAAAAAAAATTATGCATGTGCATAAAAAGTGGTGCAGAGGGGAAATGTGGAAATGCAGAATCCAGAGAGCAAACACACGGCTATCGTTTCTCCTTTCTAATCTTTCCCTCCTCCACTCTGTGAGACAATGATTAGCCGTGGTACAGTCTCTGCTTCACTGCTTGGACTTGTTTCATATTAAGGATTCCCAAAATAGCCCTCTTAAGAAAATAAATGTGCACAATAGCTTTGCTCTTGGGGTTATCTTTAGAATCAACTTGGGTAAGCATTTGCCACAGAGGATTAGAAAAGAAATCTCAAAACCAACACACTTGTTTCCTGCAAGCCATTCTGCTTTTCCCCACTGCTTTACAGACAGACAATTTAATTTAGCACTGCATCTGTGAATTACTAAACTTAAGTGCACTTAGTATACCAAATGCCACAGAGAAACAAAATATGGCATCCTCTTTATTTCTCTTGAGGACAAGAGCCACTTAGAAAAAAAAAAAAAACAACTTCCTTTAAAGCATATTTTTAAAGAACCTTGATTCCGAGACATATATAACACACAATCAGGTACCTTTGCTTTCCTCCCCTGCTCTCCTCAGCCCAGCCCTCCACACACACTTCACAGACTGCTCTTGGCTAGCCTGCTCACTTGTGCTACCACTGCCATTTCGAGTTGTTTTTTTTTTCTTTTTAATACTCTAGTTGTACAAAAGGAGGTTACATCATGACATTTCCACACACGTATACAGTGCATTCTGATCGATCTCGCCACCTCTGTGGCCTTCTCCCAACCCAGTCTGTCCTTCTAAAACAATTTCACCAGGTTTCATTGTTCTATTTTCGTATATGCAAATAAACTACTTCAACCATATCTGATGTTCACCCTCTTTGTTAGACCACCCTGTTTGTTGGTGCCCCTTTCTGCCCCTATCAGAGCCTATCTTGTGTGTGTGTGTGCATTAACTATACCAAGGGATTTTAATCTAGTGTTTTATATTACTCTAGTGTTCATATTTTTTCCTCATAATAATACTCTATTTCTTTCACTTTCCCTGCCTTCCCCCATCCCCAAGCTCTTACTAATCTACAGCTTTCATTGAGGTTCCTTACTCGGTCTTCAGAAATAGTTGGAACTGTATCTTGAAATTACTCATCCTCCATCTTTCCCCTCTCCCTTCCTCTCATCTTTCATAATTAGAATCATGTTTCATGTCTATTTAAATGTTACAGAACACCTGACCTAAACTCACTCATTGAAAGGGAAATCTCACAGTGTAAGACCCATTTCCCTGAAAATCTTTGAACAGCAAGTAAAACATTTCAATGATTGGGACACAAGCAGTGGGGAAAGATTTTCTTTTAAAAGTATTAAATGGAGATTTTAAAATTGTTTCCCATATGGTCTGTGTTGTTACTGCTTATGTGACAGTTGAATTTACGGGGAGTAAATTCAACCTTCAGCAGTGGTCTAGTACAGGAAGAAAAACTTGGAGAGAGCAAGGCAAGCATTTCCTTACATCCTGGCTGAGTCGTTTGTAATTCCCTCAGGAAGTTTTCATTAAAAAAAAAACCATTTAGTACAGAAATTCATATTGCGATGAGAATCAATGGCAATTAGGCGTTTGGTCAAAGTCACAGAACAATTGGAGGAAAGGATTCTTTATGAGCATATCCTTCAGGAAAGGGGAGGGAAGGGCTGGGCTGGTTTTCTCATCATCTGCTCTCTGGGGCACTGTGTGTGGTGTCAAAGACCTTCACAGCTGCTTAAAATTCGTTAGCATGTCAGCTATATTTACAGTGCAGGAATATATCTGTATTGCCAGAAGGTTACTGCATTTTAGCTTTAGATGCAATAGGCTGAAATCACTGCGCTCCAGAGTCCCCTGATGTAGCACAAATGTATAATTAAAATTGCTTGAAAGGAAACATGAAAGAAACAACAAACCCTCCATTCTTGCAGTAATAAAATTAAAAACAGGAAAAGTCTGCGCAGACACTTAACATTTGTCTGCAGTGAAAGGCTTTTGTTATTGCTTTTCCCCTCAGGGCTTGGCGTTTCCAGCGAATGCCGGCAGCCGATTGGCCGGCGCCTGCTGCCAATGCTGACGTCTGATTGGCTGGGCCGAGGGCGGCCGGGCGGCCGGGCGGCCGGGCAGCGGCCTGGGAGAAAGAGGCTGGGCGGTGGGAAGGATGCTGGGGGGATGGGCGGTGCGCCCCTCCTGCCCCCTCCTCCCCCCTCCTGCCCCCCTCCTGCCCCTCCCTCCGGCCCCAGGTCTGGGCCGCGGAGGCCCCGCCGCAGCTCCCGGCCCGGCCGGCCCGCAGCAGCCCGCCCGCTGCTCCCCCTCTGCACGCAGCCCGGCCTTTGTTCGCCTCGGCGGGGACAGAACAAGGAAAGCCCGTTTTCAACTCTGGAAGACCTTGTTTTTGTGGACACACTGTGTATTAAAAATAGCGAGGCCAGCACCACCACCACCACCAACAACAACAACAAAACGCCCCAGGCCCAGGGACTTTCTCCACCAAGCGGAGCTCATTAGCATGGCGGGTCTGTCTGTCTGTACACAGCACCCCGTATGTGAGTCTGGATAGACCCATGTACCCACGTAGGCAGGCACGTGTTCACACAGCCTCCGGCTTGGAACCAGGTCCCAGGAAGCCCCTCGTAGGAAGTGCACAGCCCAGCTTCTTTGTAAGGTCCTAGACGACATCCCAACATCCCATTAGGAATGAATGGCCAGCTCCTAAGGTAGGACTGAGGTGCTAAAACGTCCAAACGGTTTATCTTTCTGCTTTATCTCACATCTTGGATGTTTTGGAACACACATCCATTTTAAAGTGGATTACTCCGACTTGTAGGCATCAATGCTGAAGAAGAACATTAATCATCTAAAATTACAAATCTGAATTTAATTAATCTGTACCTAAAGTTGCATTCTTCATTTACATAAATTAGAAACAAACATATATTCATCGTCAAAAGACAGAATGTTTCCCTTCAAAGCACACACATTCTTTCAAATGTCTAGCCTCAGTACTGGGCTCTGGGGTCTTGAATGAAATGCTTTAAATATTCTCAAGAATCTCCCAGATTATCGCCTTTCCCTTTCCCTCCTGAGTGGGGTGTAGTCTCTTTCAAGGAGCTAAAGCCTGTCCTGTCACATTTAATATTTAAAAAATATCAGAGTCTTATTTCTAATAAAGCAAGAATATAGCAAAGTGGACAGTCTGAGAGTATGCTTAGCCACACTTGGTGTTCTGTGTATTGTGAACACTGGGTCTCAGATACTGATGCAGAATCTAAGATGTCAGCCCAGAGAGAAATGTAACCTATGAGACTTTTAAACAATCACAGTATTTATTATAGAAGGCCCTGGGACCTTAGAATTCGTCCAGTGTTGTGTTCCCTAGTCAGGCAGCTGCTGTGTCCAGTGGGGGTGTATATCAGGTACTTGTTTGGAGCTCGTAAATCAGTTCTGAACTCTTGTTGAAATTCTCCACTTCAAGACTCTACAGTCTTAAAACCAACACAGGCATACACCAGAGCCCAGAAGCTGAAGTACAGACTTGCATTTACATAGCCGGCCCTTTGTCCTGCTGCCTATCCTAGCCTTGGGTCCTACTCTGAGGTTGACCAGTAGTCCCACCCCTGTGAATCAGACAAGACCCGTGATGGACACCTGGATCCCAGGCTGGAAATCGGCATTAGAAAACTGGACTTAAGTTCTGGGAGGTTGGTAGAAAGAGAAGCTGAGAGGAGCACAATGGGCCAGAGCCCCAAGAACGCAGTATGTATGAATGAGACCAAGAAGCCAGTGTTAGAGCAAAGCTCTCAATGTTTCTCTGTGGAAGGGGCGCTTTCCCTCTGGCCTCATGGCAGAGCGCCTGGCTGAGAACGTAGGTCCTGGCGGGCCCTGCTGGAGGCCATCCCCCGCTCCCCACTTCACACCCGTGGGCACCCTCTCTTTTTTGTCCTGCAAACATGGATCTAAGTTTCTTCAACTGTTCTTTTTGTCACATTTTTTAAAAAATCTCTTGGGATAAAATCTTCAACCAAATGTCTTTGTTTCAAATCCCAAGGAAAGTTGAAGGTCCTCATTTACTAGGGCCAAATGGAGACAAATCCTAGCACACTTGTGAGTTTTCTCTCCAGTCACACACAATCTATGTGTATCCTCCTCCTCTGATAAGTGGTCATTCGCACCTGGATCCCAAACTAGACTCCTTCTACAGGCCTCTCCCTAATGCTTCCTCCATAGAATCCAGTGTGCCTTCCTTTTCCCATCTCAGCTGGACTCTTCCTCAGTCTTCGCACCAGTGGCCATGTACCCAAGGAAATAAAGTGAAGGAAGGCAGACCATTCCCAGGCCTGCCCCCAAACTCCACCCAGCACATTCTGCCTCCTCTCCCTCCGAGTTGGCCAAAATGGAAATGGCACAATGACCTCCTGGAAGGCCACGAGTTTTGAAGGAGTCAGAGTCTTCTTCTGTTGAGGCCCTAAATGACAAGGACACCCTCCTCTCTCTCTCTCTCT